GACCCAGTTCATAAAATTTCGATGGTGCAACTATGAACATTTCGAATTGGCTGGCTGTGCGATTACAAAAAACACCTCGTCGTGTACCCTGAGGGTCCAATATACATGGAGAATAAGACGAAGGAATCAGAAAGGTGAAGCGGAGTAGCATGGGCAGCATTTCATGTCTCTCGAAAAAGCACCGACCAAAAATGGCCTCCAAACTTTGTGCTCACTTTTCAATTCAGCGCTTTGATTGTAGCAAAACAGCAAGCTAGTTCTTCAATCACGTCAAGAAATTTGTGCACCACTTATAGATTATTTGAACGATGTTTTGTGAAATTTATTTGGTACTCACAACGTTTAACTCGCTTGCGCAGCTCAACTGTTCGAAAGGTTTTTTCCACGACAGATTTGCGAAAAACATATGTTCCCGAAGACGGCCAATCGCGTGTTGGGCGAACATGTTGTAATCAGAGCTGAAGGCTGTACTCACATCCAATGATATCTTGCAAATACTCGCACTCGCCTCAGTACGCAAATGAAGTCTTCTCCATGGACGACCATGAAACAAGGAAACCTATGGAGAGGTCCGCGAGAGAACGTACTGTAGTCCGCACAAGTCGTAAAGGCGTGCTGTTTGAGAATACAAGTAAGGGAGAAAGATGATTCTTCATCCGAGACACGTGAGTAACGATTTGCACTCAAAACAACCAAGAACAAAGATTTTCAGGTAAAAAATCTGGCATATATTTTGAATTTAGAATCCTTTCAACCTTACATAGTAAAGGGGGCTTATTGAATGTGTTTCCTTATCATAAAATAAAAAGCGTCAAATAACAAGCGAAAATGGAGGAGAAAGGTTTGGATTTATTTATGAAGCAATCACCATAGCACCGAGCTCGCTATCTTCACCTCGTTGTCACAAAGTGATTGTATAAGATTGTTGTTAGAATGATATCTAAATTTGTATTTTTTTGTCAACCTTATTGATTTACAATAAATTTTAGTTCTCGGTCTTTGTTATGTGTTTGATGCCATTCGAAAGCTTGTAATCTCGAGATTCTAAACATATGGGAATTCTGTTCTTTGTAATGTTTACAAAAAACACGTATTTTAACACGTCATCGACTTTGCCAAAGCATTTTCGTGCCAAGGAAAGTTGCAGAGACCTGAAGAGATGGTAATCGCTTGGGGCAGCATCTGGGCTATACAATAAATGAGTTAAACGTTCCCACCCTGATTCTTCAGTCTTTTGCAATGTCAGACGCTCTGTAGATGAACTTTGTCTTCACGACTCTTCGATAAAGCTACTGCCGCCGATTCTGACGTATTGGTGCTGCCTTCACGAAACCTTTTGAACCATCCTTGTTTAGTTCGAGTTTCGAAGTGTTCTTTTTGAAGGAAGGGAAGAAATTTCCTCGAGTTACAAGAAATAGGATGCCCACATATTTAGAATCCCGAGATCATGAGCTATCGATCGAAGTAAAACACGATAAAACGGCCAAGAAATAAATTTATCGTAAACAAATGAAAATAACAATTTTAGACGATAGAGCTTAGCTTGCAATCTAATACGTGGAGTACTTGCAGCGCCCTGAAAGAAACGGACACGCAGGTGTGAGTCATATATGACTCATTATTACTCCCTTTCCTGTGCTCTGCTTTGAGTATCTAATACAATTTTACACGGAATTAAGCTGCCATGAGCCACATTGTTGCACACTTTGGATCCATAAATCAGCCGAGTTCACGGATTCAAAAAAATTGTGTTAAGCAGTGTGCTGTCTAACGTCAGCTGATGTCGTCCTTCATTGCTGAAAGCAAATAGCAGCTGGTTTTCGCGGAAAAACACAAAGTATTGAATGAACTGATCAAAAGCGTCGTGCATTTACAGCACAAAGTTGTGGAAGAGAAAATACGATTGAAATGAGCCAGTTGCTATATACTTACTGCATTATCATCACTTCAAATTGGCTAAACATTAACAAACCGTTTTTCGAATACTATTATTTCTTCTTGATAGTTTTTCAGGCGATCAAAAATACAGGAATTCAAGATTAATTAAGCTTGAGTGCTGATGTACAAATCTACACACTACTACTATGATCTGGCTTGACAGGATACATGTTTCTGTCCTATAGTGAAAGACAATTGTGTTTCCTAAGATTCCCAGACAGAGGTAGATTTCGCATCTCGTCTCAGAAAGATGGAGGCCTCAAACTACTAGATAATTTGAAAATCCACGAAGTAAAAAGTTGTTTGAAAAGCGAAGTAGAATGATAGTTTGTATCTTCAAAATGCATATTATAATTCCATATGATCCTGTATCAAGGTTCTTATTCGACGAGTAATCTATAAGCGCAATGTCTAGTCAACGTTATGGTTTCAACTATCAAAGAACTGGAAACATTGCAACGATTTACGCTGATATCGCACATAGATTTTACAACGCCCACGTTGGAATTACATCTTTTAATGATATTCTATCCACCGATAAAAGAAATGAAGAGAACAAAAAGAGAGAAAAGTGTGAGAAGGATGAAACTACTCTCAACAACAATAATAGTAATAAAACCTCCCGTAAGGCTCATGAAAGCATTGAGAATTTTAGAATGTCATTCCACAATTATTGATTTGTGTAAGAATAATAGTAGTGCTATTGTAATAACCACTCTCCACCTACTAAACGGGTCTCAGCAACTGACACATTGTTTGTTTGTTTTTGTGGCATCCGTCATTCGCAAAAATCTTAGTACCGTCCCGTGGACTTAGGCTGCCGATTGAGGACCTTACCTTTTCTCTAAAAGTCGAATATTCGTCATTTACCACGCATTCCTGGGAAGACATTTCCGGAACATTCTCAAGCTTTCCTAGTAGGAGATCGCCTGCTTTTAAAGAATAAATGGAGCTTTCAAGACAACTTTGTTAACGTTTTACTGGCTTTTGGAAGAATGTAGTAGTGGGTGAGGGAATCTTGAGCCAGAGAGGATGCTTGCACTACTGCGATATCCTTGTAACGATTGCCTTCCTCGTGCCGGTATACTGAATCTTAGAAGCGGTGATAAAAGTAATCACAGTGATAATAATGCAACAATAAGATTCTTGGAAGTCTCGGTTAGTTGATGCGAGAAGCGCCGTTGATCCAAGAGAGGCCGATCAGAGAGTAGGCGCCACAAGTGCACCATGTCACTGAATGGCTAAAGAACACGAGGTGATTGAATAAAAGCTGACGCTGTGTTGGTGGCAAGTGGATGGCAAACAATAATGCAACGTGTGAAGGAAATCTCAGAGCCAGGAAGTGTATTACGTTAACATCCAAGTGAATCTTAGTGAGTGTAACGTGATGGTCAATGCGGTTTTATAACTGTGTTCAGGAATGCAAGTGGCGCAGTGGTTAGAGGTGCTGCTCGTCACATACGAAGTCCATGGTTCGATACCTCGCTCATGTTTCACTAAGCAGTCCATTGCTCCAATGTTGGTAAATGATACCAGCAAAGTGATACTCAATTCTTCAGCCTTCTATGCCCTCGAGATGATTTAGTTGACCTCGTAGATGCTAAAGTTAATCAGATGATACCACGTATAGATGGTACTAAATCTCTTCATTATATTCGAGCCAACATGTCATGTAGTCTGGTAAGGGCTCTTGTACAGCCCGATTCACGTGTTTCGACCTTGCAGTCTCGTGAGTCGAGCAGAATTCGTAGTCTTTCAATTTATGAAAATCACGCATCCTTCGATTTTAAGTGATATACTTCCAAAAACCACGTGATCATTCGCTCATAAAAAATAGGAAAGACGACAGATTCTGCCCGACTGACGAGAGTTGAAGTCGAAACTCGTGTATCGAGCTGTATAAGAGCCCTTGCCAGACACATAAAATGTTGGCGCGAATAATAATAAAGCGATCTATTGAAATTTGAGTGGTCTTAAGGAAGCTCTCGAAATAAAAGCCGTATATCATAAATCAGCGACCTTCTTGTGAGCGAAACTGCTGTCAAATGGAAATCCTCTGCCACTTTTACCAATGGTAATAAATTCTCTTGTGGATGGCTTGTTTTTCATTTTTGCCCTACAGTATAGTCTAAAAGTGCATTAAGGAACTTCCCCTTTTCTCAAACACTCATCTGAGTATTCTGCTCGAATATGTGGTCCCTGATCATTTCTGCGAACTGATCATAGCTTATTATATGTGTAAGGTCGCCGTGGCCGAGTGGCTGTGATGCTCGTCGTGGAGCGCACGGGCTAAGTCCCACCCCCAACACTCTCCGGCTGCGATCAACGACCGCCATATGGAGTGCCACAGCCAAGCTATACTTTGATATTGCAAGTAGAGGAGCTCAATTAGTATTCAATGACGTTCAAGAAAGAAACGAAATAAGAATTGATATTGGGCGTACTGAGATCCGGATGTGAAATAAACACTGTGAAGACGAATCAGTAAAGCGCCAAAAAGTGCATGTGCGTGATAAAAATCACAAGCGACGAGTGACTTTGTCTGGTGGCAAGACCGCCAAGACGTTTCGCAACCACTAATGAAATGTAGCGTGAGAACCCCAAAAAAGGTGAAAACATTCTTGAAGTCTCTCTCTCTCACTTTCTCCTCTCTCTCTCTCTCTCTCTATATATATATATATATATATATATATATATATATTATATATATATAGATATATATATATATATATATATATATTATATATATATGTATATATATGTGGCCCATGGTCGAGTGATTATGGTGCTCGCCGATGCTCGCGTGGAGCCGAACTACACCCCGCTCCCCCCAGCTTTCTTCGGCAGTCAACAATAACGCCCTATGGAACGCTACACACAGGCTGTCCTCGAGATTGAGGAGATTTGCTCAATCAGTATTTCACGCTGTTTAAGAAGAAGGTGATGAAACGAATTTATAGCTATATGTACTAGGATTCGCATAGTGAATAAACACTGTGATGACGGATCAAATAAAGCACTATATATACAAGCCTGAGAGAACTGAGTGGTAAGCCAAAATCCGAACGCTAGGCGGGAGTTGAACCCGCGGTTCATCCCTACCGGAGATGCGTGCTACCACAACACCCAGGCGATCGCTTACACATCACTCATGCCTCAGTATCACTCTATCATAGCTATCAAAGAAAATCTAGAAAATATAAATTCAATGGATGTCAGCTTAATTGGGTTAATCGAGCGATATTTCTTACCCGAGCGAGCCCGTTAATGGTAGGATGGCTGATAGCCATCACAGAGAGATATATTAAAGAATGAGCGTTGAGTGAGCGATGGCCTCGATGATTTAGTGGTAGCACGCGTCACCAATATGGATGAAACACGGGTTCAACTCCCGTCTGAAATCGGATATTTGGTTACCACTCAGTTCTCTCAGGGTTATTCGATACTTTATAACACTACGGAAATGCAGTAAAAACGTGAAAAATCTTAGGGCCATATATAATATACTTTTATTTATAATCCGTCATCACAGTAATTTTTTTCACTGTGCGGATCCTAGTACTTTTAGCATTCAGCTCGTTTAATAGTCTTCTTCTCGAACGGCGTATATTACTGGTTGAGCTAGTCTCCTTGCAGTCTTAAGTATAGACCTGCTGTGGTGTTCCATAGGTCGTTGTTGTTGGCTGGCTGCCAAGGGGAAGTGGGGGTGAAGCTCAGCTCCACGAGTGCCGTGACAAAACCACAACCACCCAGCCACGGGGCTATATATATATATTATATATATATAGTATATATATATATATATATATATATTATATATATATATATATACTATATATATATATAGATATATATATATATGCGGAAAGAGTTGAAGTTCTCCTCGTTGCAGAACACCTCTGTGGAAAAAGGCGCGATCAGTCTAGGATATTTGAATAAAAACTGGAGTTATTTGTTTCGGCATATCAAAGTTTATGTGTGAAATCTGTTCTGCCCTGACAATCAAGGCTAACATCTGGTATCTCGAATTGCCTATTGTATCAAGTGTACAAATTTGGATGATACCCACATTCGCTGCAACACATATTAGCCAGTGATGTCATAGAAGACGAACGATATATTGTGCATGTTTACTCATGTTGTTGTGAGAACTTGTTAGGAATTTGTATAGTAGAGAGGTTAACTTTTCCAGGTCTATAGATAAGATGATAGTCGAAGAAATCGTGAGGAAGCTTCACCTCGCAGTCAGTTGTTTTCATATCTTGCTATGAACAATCAGCATAATCTGTGAGAATTTTTGAGCCTTTTCGAAATTGATAAGCGAAAGGCTTACTTCCGTTTTGGCGGTATCACTCGCTTCATCAGAGCCACACGCTTTACTCAGTCCTACTTTATAGCTTCAATGAGAGTGTATTTTTCACCATTTTTTTAGCCGGTGTCTTACGGCTAAAAGTGAATATGAGGACATCACCTTTCAATCGAGTGTTTTACTTCGCTATGAACATGTGATTCATACGTCAGTGGCTCACGTATAGATTATATTGATTGTGAGAAGAAGTTTGCTTGAAAAGGTATTTTGAGTACAGGATCTTGATCATCAGCAAAGTAAGAAATTAGATTGAACAGTCCTTTCACATATCATACTTTAAGCTTTCCAGAGATCTACTATGGCACCTCGAGTGCTAGACGTGCGTTTCGGGTTCTATGTCAAGCCTCATCATTAGCATATGCTTCTCGATTCAGCCGAGGTCCTAAATATAACGATACGACGTCGAATATGTTATACTGTACGTCAAGTGAAAAGATCGCCAGACATTGCTGTGGAAATGATTACTGATTGCTAATAAAACAAATATAGCAATATTTTTCTATATCAGTATATTTTAAGCGAGGTCTCGAAGAATGATAAAATAGGAAACATATTCTTACAGATAGTGAGAGGTCAAGAAGACGTCGTCATTAACACCCTACCTTTTGTTGACGACGGGAGATGTTTAAGGCGATGTAGTGCTCAGAAGTAAGAAGCACTTAGACTTCCACAAACTGTAGATCTTCGATGCTTGTGGCCCTGGTTTTGACACATATTTATGACCAACATAATAATAACGAGTGTGGAAAGGCAGTCTCATGTTTACAGAGATAATTTTCAAATTCGAAAGATCGACTTTCAGCGACTCTCCTCATGTCAGATGAAAAATCTGTGGTTTTTCAAATTGTTGAATGCGAGCTCAATCAAAGAACTCCGCCTGCATATGAAAGTCCTGCCACATAAAATCTTTCATGAAGTTGTACTTTAGAGGAAATGAGTTTCCTGATTGCGATTTTACGACACATTCGTTAGGAAGAAATTTTTGAAAGGATTGGAATGCGTTATTTTACTAAGGATGTCGTTTCTTTTTTACTAAATACCGGCGATTATGCATATTTTCCGGAAAAATGCTCATATAGATGATTGCGAATCTCATCAAGAAAATTTCTTTCGTATGAGTCCCTTCCAGAATGCGCTCATTGTAGAAAATGCATATCCGTGATACATTTACGCATCATTGTTGAACGAATAATGCGTTATTTTTCCATTTATGTTGCTGTTCGCTGTTGTTTGCCTGACCGACGTCGCTGTTGTTTCCCAAGTTCTACACACGGGATCAGACCATCGCCTCCTTCGCGCAACGTTCCGATTTTCGAGGAGAGGAAGAGAAAGCCGCTAAATTCAAACAACATATAAGGACTAAAGACAAATTTGATGAATTGGACGAAGTCGAGGTTCTGCCGCATTCCGCTACAGTGCAAATCGCGCTCCATCCGACTTTAGTCTTTTCCGAACAATGCAGCACTTCTTTAGGGGCCGCCAATTTAAATTGTTCGATGAAGTTGAAGAAGCATGTCAAGAGTTTTTGATTCGAAAGTCGAAGGGATGGTGCGTTCGAACAGATCCGAAACTTAGTGTGGACGATGGCGGATAGTCGTAGAAAACGATAGTCTTTTAATCTGAAGAATAATAATTTACTATTTTTGTTTGGAGTTTTATTGCATAAATTTACAATTTCTTACCAAGCGCCTCAGAACGTTCTATCCAACCTAATAGACCATGTAGTAGTGACTCTATTCTGTCGTTCAGTAAACATTAACATTTCATTCTCATATCAACTGCCTGATAAGGCCAATGTGAAATCAAATCAGCCGCCTGACGACTCTGAGTGTGAACGTAATCGTCTTTGCGCTTTTACAGAGTTCTACTAGAACTTTCTTGAAAATCGACTTTAGTTTTGAATTTTTCCATGATTTATGCTATTTCATTGAAATCTCTTAAAACTTTAATGAAAAGCTATCTGCAGTTTGTAGGTATTCAAACAAAACATGCTGAAGGTGAGATATAATTTTTTGTAGTGTATACAGTGCGCCCAACATCAAGCTATGACGAAGACGAAGTCGAAGCGTTCTATATGGACCCTCGAAAAATTCTTCAAGAAGATCATACACTCTTCAAGTCATTGCCGGAGATTTTAACGCAAAAACTGGACCTAGAAGAACGTCCTGAAAAAAGGCACATAGGGACCCACGGACTAGAATGGAATGAACAGGGTGAGAGGCTATCCGAGTTTATCATGACGACCCAAACCAGCCATGGTAACTCGCAATTCCAAAAGCCTCTCTCTCAACGATGGACGTTGGAGTCCTCCTAATGGAGAGTACCATAACGAATTAGATCACATCATAGTAAATCGAAGGTTTTGCCTGACCGACGTCGCTGTTGTTCCCAAGTTCTACTACACGGAATCAGACCATCGCCTCCTTCGCGCAACGTTTCCGATTTTCGAGGAGAGGAGAGAAAAGCCGCTAAATTCAAACAACGAAGTCCCAGAACTACCACAAACTGTGATGTATTCAAATCATTAGTCGGCTCTTGGGAAGATACCGTTGTCGACAACATCGACGAAGAATACGATCGACTCGTTGAATATCTTCACTTGGCGCTAAAAAAGCCGAAAGTCCTAAGGTCACGAAGAGACGCTTGTCTCCGCAGACACTCGAGCTGATACGTCAACGTGGAATCGCACGAGCCGCAGGCAACCGAAACCTTACGTCCGACTTGCGAAACGATGCCAGAGAAGCGATAAAAGAAGACCTTAAAGAGAGAAGAGCAGCGCAGTTATGGCAGAAGCTGCAGAAGCTGGGAAGAGCATTCGCAAAGCCCAGCGAGGCTTCGCCAACTATAAGACCAAGATGATTGCACTCCGATACCCTGACGGGACACTTACAGCTTCCAGAAGGGCTATGGAGAAAATCATCCACCACTACTACTCGGATCTCTTCGCTACCATGTTTCTCTTACCAGTCATAAAATTGAAAGAGGGAAAACGAATACGTGGGGGGGGGGGGCTACTGTTGCTGGTCGCTTATCCTTCTGCGGTGGGTGCAGTCTTCTCGGGCCCATTAGCTCCGATCGTAGATAACCACGTCTGGGGGGCTATCTGTTAGCCGGTGGAGCTCGAGTGAGTCCCTCGAATCCTAGTTTTGGTCTGTCTCCAGGTTTCTGC